CTCAGCCATAAGAAGAAAACAAATCCTACCATTTGCAACATGGATGGAGCTGGAGGGTATTATGCTCAGTGAAATAAACCAGGCAGAGAAAGACAAGTACCAAATGATTTCCCTCATTTGTGGAGTATAACGATGAAGCAAAACTGAAGGAACAAAACAGCAGCAGACTCAGACTCCAAGAAGGGACTAGAGGAAGGAGAGGGGTGGGGAGGGGGGGAAAAGGGAATTTAGGGGCATTATGATTGGCACACATGGTGTTGTGGGGGGTCATGGGAAAGACAGTGTAGCACATAGAAGACAAGTAGTGACCCTGTGGCATCTTATTACACTGATTGACAGTGACTTCAATGGGGCACGGGGGGCACTTGAAGATATATATGGGTGAATGTAGTAACCACATTGTTTTTCATGTGAAACCTTCATAAGAGTGTATATCAATGATATCTTAACAAAAAAATTCACATTGAGAGGAAATTGGCTAGTAAATGCATAGAGAATTTTACATGATGCAGTATTTCACCAAGAAGAGTCAAAAGCCAGAATGATATACGTAAGGACAACCAGCCCCCTGTTCTCATGAAGTCATGAATGTAGACAGGCCAGGCCCACAGAGCTGGCAAGTAAACTGGGATTGAAGAGCCCGGGCGTGGCACTGACGCCCCGTGTCCACAGGGCCCACACCACAGTCGCCCGAGCAGCTTGCAGGTGTGGCTTCTGCCCCGCGTGGCCAGGACATGTTAGCAGGGGAGGCTCTTAGCTCTAGAGCCAAGGAGTGTAATCGGCAAAAACGAAGAAAGATGCAATGGGAGGGGCTTCTAGGATGAAAGATTAATATGAAACTAATGAAATTAATTTTTTAAAAGAAGAAAAAATATGTCTCTTCATACTCAGGAGCCCATTTCTAGAAATACACCTTTGAGGAAAAAAATGTTCATTTTCAAAAAAGAAAAGGGCCTAAATGTCTCTCAAAAGAAGATTCCACAAGTGAACTGGAGTATGTTTACATGATGTTGAAAACAGTGCATAAATAACCTGGCACGGGGGGGAAGGACTTGGGACCGGTGACCAGATTCCGGCCCGGGGCGGAGTGACCCCGAGAGGAAACAGTCATACTGATACTGACCCGCCCCTGCGAGGGTCGGTGCAGGTGTCTCACGGCCTTGCCAGCAGGGCCCAGGCTGTCCCATGGCCCCGTGTCAGCTGCCAGGGCGGCCATTACAAAGTAACACAGACTCGTGACTTGTGACGGCAGCGATCCATTCCCTCGTGGGTCTGGAGGGTGGACGTCCAGAATGACGCGGTCCTCAGGGCCTCTACCCTTGAAAGCTCCAGGGAGAAGTCTTCCTCGCCTCTTCCAAGCCTCTGGGGGTCCTGCAGCCTGGGCGGTTCTGTCCCTGTGGCTGCGTCACTTGAAGCTCTGCGCCGGCCCTCCCGCCCCTTCCTCGGGTCTCGAGTCCTTTCCTGTCCTAGGCAGACACTCGTCACTGGGGCTAGGGCCCACCTAACCCAGAGTGACCTCTTCCTAGTTCACTTGGAATGACCCTAATTCAGATAAGGCCGCAGTCCGGGTGTCCGAGGACATTTCACCGCGGGGAGAGCGCTCACCCTGCACAGTGGGGCCCGCGGGCTCCGGGGGGACCGACTCCCTGCCGTCACTCAGGCTTCTGTGTGCGTCGGGTAGGTCCGTTTGGTTAGTATTTTTGTTCAATTCTAACAAATGACCACAATTTCATCTGCCAGTTTATTCAGCTACTGAGAGGTGTGGTTATATATTAACCGTGACTTGGGTGTATGCATTTCTTTTTAATTCTGTCAGTTTTTACCTCTTGTATTTTAAATATTTATTAGTTGTACACAAATTTTAATTTTCACATCATCTCGTTCAATTGAATATTTTCATCAAGAGATGCCCCTTAATAAATATCCTTTTCTTCTAAAATCTACTTTATTTCACACTTATTGAGCCACACCAGCCTTCTTCATCTTAGAGTGTCCATGATAAAGCTTTCTCCAGCTTTTCACTTTTATACTTTATGTAACTTCATACTAAACATTTATGAACCTTACACTTTGGTTTTGGGTTTATTTTCAGGCTTACAGTACTCCGTTTTAATAGATACTTACTCTACCCGCTGGAGTGCAGGGCCACCCAAAGGGCCAAAACCACAACCTAGCGTCGGTGCGCCGTGAGCACAGGTGTGGCACACAAGGGCCGCTGCCTCCCCAGGCCCAGATTTCCCACCAACATTCGCGGATGGATCAGGAGGTGGAGGAAGGGCTGTGGGCCAGGAGGTCACACTTGCTGCCCCAGGAAGACCTGTCAAAGGAGGGCCACTGGGTCCCTCTATGCTGCCCATGTTTCTCTCCTATTGGCACCCCCAGTGGTCCCTGAAGGACCTCAGGCTTCCTGCCTCCCCCATTGTGGGGTGAGGGGACCAGAGGAAGATTGGCCACAGACCTGCAGCTTCCTGGGACCCAGAGGAACCAGGGGTCCCAGCGCACTGCACAGGCCAGAACACAAACAACCTCCCCTAATTGGCCATTCGAGGCCCCAAGTCCCAGCCGTGCCAGGCGGAGAGAACTTCCCCAGCAGAGTGACCCGGAGGTGCAGGGGCCTCAACGAGCCAGCCAGCTGCCAGGACGAGACGTGGAGGGGCAGGTGAGCACCTGGCTGGCCTCTCACCAGGACCCCAGGGCCCCCTGCCCTCTTCCCCATCCTCACTTCACTGCACAGGAGGCCAGAGCTGAGCTGGGAGGGCTGGGGCTCCTCCGGGCCACCTGATTGTCATCGGCACAGACCAGGTCAGAAGCTCGGAGACCCTGGGAGGGCAGGTCCTGGCCTGTGGCCTCGCGCCAGTTGTAACCCTCACCTGAGAAGGTAAGGCCCAGGCAGCCACCCATCAGGGCTGCCAGGAGTTGAGGACGCCGCATGTGAGGGCGGCGGCAGGACACGCTGTGCAGCAGGCACTGGGGGCCGCTCCCTGAAGCTGAAGCCATGTCCACTCTCCTACCCTGGCCAGCCAGGCCTCGGCCTTGAAGCTGAGGCAGGTGGGGCTGGAGCTTCTGCATTTCCACCCGGCTCTCCGGTGACACCAAGGCTCCTGGTTCTGGACCACACTCTCAGGAAGAGGGGTCAGGGCTCCCTGGCCCAGGTCACCTGTCCACCTCAGGGGCTCAGCTGCCCAGCACTCCCCCACCTCCCTGCATGCATTCCCCAGGCTCAGGGCACAGGCTGGGGAATGTAACAGTTCGTTACACTGATGCCCATGGACAGCCATGGGTCGCCTCAGCAAGTTGGAGGCCCCTGTTCATTGCTCAGAAATGAAGCAAAGAATATGTTGCTGGGAACAGAAATGTTCTTATTTTCAGCTTACCACAAGGACACCCTACATGGTCAGTTATCACGTTAAGGGTTTGTCAAGAAAAATTGAGCACAAAACCATTAAACTCAAAACCTTAGAGTTCACAGTTAGAAACTTAGAAACTTAGAAAAATCTACTATTTAGTCTTAGTCACAGACAGGTGGGCCACACTAGCCACCACGGTCCCCATGGTGTGTGTGTCAGCTCTGCATGTGGGCAGCAGGGGGTCCCCAAGGGGCACCAACAGGATGCAGAGCAGGCCCCAGAACCCGCTCTGTCCATGCTTGGTCAGCATAGCACTCCGCCAGGCCCAGCACTCAGCATCACTACTAGAGATCCCATTTCCTGCTGGTTGGATTGCCTGGAGTGAATCGGCCTTGAGGGGGAACTGGGGGATCCATCCTCTCATCTGCATCCAGCTGCGGGTTCCTGCATTTTCCTGACCAGACAGAAGACCACATCTCCTGAGGAAACCTAGGTTAGGAGGGGCTTGAAGGTGTCCCCACAGCACGCACGCCTCCACTCCCCACGAGCTCACCCCTCCGTGTCCAGGACCAGCCCTTTAGGAGAGCTGATGACTGCAGAGGTCAGCCAGCCCTTCCCAGGGATCCTCTCTGCCTGACCTCACCCTCTGTGCAGCCCCATCCCACCACCACTCCTGGGACTTCCAACACACCCCTGGAACCATACAGTTTGCTGTGTGCAGCTCTGCTCCCTGCACTCTGAACTGTCTGCACCGTGACAGAGACAGGGAACAGAAGGAGTTCAGGGGATTGCAGGTGGGGTAACACAGAACCTCCCATTCTCTTGCTTAAAATGGAAAAGCACACTCCTTATTAAAGCATCTGGCCCCGAGGGGCTCCAGTAGCATGGGGTGTGGCCAAAAAAGCAGAAGGGCATGTCCATCTCCCAAGCATGTGACAGTCGTGTCCCGCTCCTTCTCAGACCATGGGGCTGGGCCGTCATCTCCCCATTTGTCTGACATCGGGCATTCCCAGGAAGTGCCCTGAGATCCTTAAGGACACAGACAGCTCTGCTGACCGCATGCCACCACGGTCCAGGCGCAGAGACGGTGCTGGGCTGGGGCTCAGAGGCTGCAGGGGACCCAGGCAGGCGGCACCCACATTGGCCTGGCAGGGCTGATCTCTGCTTGGCTCCCAGCCTGGCCTGGAGACGCAGCCACCACCTGACCCATCCTGAGGGGCAGCAGATGCTCGCTCGGCATCTCTGAAATGAAGGAGCTGGTGCCCGGAGCACAGGGCTGGTCCCTGAGCAGGTACGTAACGGCTCCGGGCACTGGGGGCAGGGTGGGGGGTCCATTCAGGAGGAGGCGTGGGGCTGCAGCGCCATTCTCAGCTACAGGCTCTCAGCCCTGCCAGCCTCCTGGCACCGCTCCTCACAGCACAGCTCGGTCCCCTGCAGAGGACGCAGCCAGAGCACAGCCATGGACCTGACCAGAGGACTGTTGCCCTTTCAGGTCACTCTGAGCTCCTCTGGAAGGAGAGCTGGGAAGCTGGTGCCTCTTGGTCTGGGCATCGAGGGCCTGGGGGTCACTGTGCTCCATGGACGGTGTAACCTTGTGACCTTGACCTGCTCCCCCTCGCTGCCACCTGCCTTGTCTTTGCCCAGCTCAGGGCCATGCCACCCCACAGAAATGGAAGCCTCTCAGTGGTGCCCCTGCAGGAGTTTGTGCTGGAGGGGTTTGAGGGTGGCCGGGAGACCCAGGCCCTGCTCTTTGCTGTGTTCCTGGCGCTGTACGTGGTGGCCGTGCTGGGGAACCTCAGCATGATCGTGCTCATCAGCCTGGACGCCCGACTGCACTCCCCAATGTACTTCTTCCTCAAGAGCCTCTCCTTCCTGGACCTGTGCTACTCATCTGTCACCGCCCCCAACGCCCTGGCCAACTTCCTCTCCCCGTCCAAGGCCATCACCTTTGAGGGCTGTGCCGCCCAGTTCTTCTTCCTCTCCCTGTTTGCTACTACAGAGACTCTCCTCTTGGCAGTGATGGCCTATGACCGCTTCATGGCCATCTGCAGCCCCCTGCTCTACCCCGTCACCATGTGCCCCTCGGCCTGCACCCGCCTGGTGCTGGGCACCTACTGTGGGGGCTGCCTCAACGCCATCGTGCAGACCAGCTCCACCTTCCGCCTCCCGTTCTGCGCCAACCACATCGACCACTTCTTCTGCGACGTGCCCCCCCTGCTGCAGCTCGCCTGCACCAACACAGCCCTCAACGAGCTCCTCTTGTTTGGCATCTGTGGGCTCATCATCGTGGGCACCACACTCGTGGTCCTCATCTCCTACGGCTACATCACAGTGACCATCCTGAGGATGCGCTCGGCAGCCGGGAGACACAAGGTCTTCTCCACCTGCGGCTCCCACATGACGGCCGTGTCCCTCTTTTATGGGACCGTCTTTGTCATGTATGCCCAGCCGGGAGCTGTGGAGTCCATGAGGCAGGGCAAGGTGGTGTCTGTCTTCTACACCCTGGTCATCCCGATGCTCAACCCCCTCATCTACAGTCTGCGAAACAAGGACGTGCAGGAGGCCCTGCGGAGGCTGAGCCAGAAACTCACGGTCATGTGAAGGATGTGGCTGGAGGGGTCCGAGTGCCCGGAGGCTGGATGGAGGTCTCAGGAAAGACCCGAGCTAACGCGGCGCCCTCAAACCTATCCCACCACCAGGGGGAATTGGGTATGTTGATGATCTCATTCATTTATACATTCAGTCAATGTTGCTCAACCAGATGTTCATTCCATAAACCAGATGTTCACAAAGTGTGAAACAAACAGATGAATCACGATGTTTTGCATCCCGACCTCTAAGTGTCCAAAGAAGCAATGAAACCAAGTACCTGAGACCGAGGGAAGAGGGCCACCTGCTGAGTGTCCGCACAGTGTGGTCTCCTGCCCGGTACTGAGCATGGGTCCCCGGGTCACTCACTGGGTTTTAGCAGGAGAGACGTCAGATGATTGTGCATTTTACCAAACCTGGAAAAAAAGAAAATGCCTGCTTGCAATTTGCCTGCACCCCTCCGGGCCTGCACAGACACGAGCACTGACTGAAAGCCCTGCTGCCTCCACTTCACCTCTTCTCAGTCCATTTTCAACAGCAACACCAAAGAGATCTGTTTCAAGTGGTAATTTAAATACAGGGCCAAGGCATTCTCCACGGTGAGTTTGGTGTTCGTAGGAATAGCTTTGGTTGGAGTGGTCCGGACCTGACAACCAGGGCCTCCCTCACGGAGAAGCCAGGTCGGGGGTCTGAGGCAAAGGCAGTGGTTCCAGTATTCGGAAACTCCCCTGGGCTCCTGAGCCATCACATGAAGGGCGCGGAAGACATGGTTACAGAGATGACCCCGAGCTCCAGCCAAGGTATCACCTTCATAGTAGCAGGATGGAAGATATGAAGTACAAACATTACAGATTATATTTTTATGTCCCAATGAAAAAATATTCAGGTCATATACACTCAAGGAGTTCAACACCACCCAGAGCAAGAAAGAAATGTACTCAGTTCCCACAACACCCTCTTAACGCCTTATCGTCATTGCCCTCTAAGGTCAATCTGATCCTGCCACTAACACACAGATGAGCTTTTGCCTGTAAACGTCTTATGAATAGAATTATACAGTCTTCTTTTCGTGACTTTTTTGCTAACATTATCTTTGTGAGATTAATCCATGTGGTGTGTATAACAGTTCTTTAATTTTCATTATTATGTAAGATTCCATTATACGAAGATGGACACGAGTTGCTCCCAACTATTGACTTTAAAACACTGCTGCTATGAAATTCTTTTCATGTCTTTTGCTGTGAATGAATTCTGGTTGTGCATTCTAGTAGCAAGATAG